GGATCCAGGGAGAGCTGGAATGTTCCCCTGGAGAAGGGAAGGATCCAGGGAGAGCTCAGAGCCCCTTGCAGGGCCTGAAGGGGCTCCAGGAGAGCTGGAGAGGGATTTGGGATAAGGGACAGGACACAGGGAATGGATTCAGAGTGGAGAAGTGGAGATTTAGATGGATATTGGGAAGGAATTCCTCTCTGGGAAGGTGGGGAGGGCTGGGCTGGAATTCCCAGATTTGCTGTGGCTGCTCCTGAATCCCTGGAATGTCCAAGGCCAGGCTGGAGCAGCCTGGGACAGTGGAGGTGTCCCTGCCCTGGCACTGGACGAGCTTTAATTTCCCACCCAACCCAAATCACTCCAAGATGATCAGTCAATCCTTTCATTTCCATTTCCTCCCGTTAAAATCTTCTTTCTACCTCTTCCTCTCTTTTCTTGTTATCCCACAGGGATTCTTAGTCCATGGCTCTTCCTTTGAATAATCCCCTTTTACATGAACCCTGTATTTCTGTGTTCCAGGTGATACCCTTGGATATAACCCTGGAGCTCCAGAAGCAGATCATGTCCGAGTTAGAAATTCTCTACAAGGTGTGTGGATTTTACCACTGGAATTCTTCTTGCTTCAGTTTTCCTCCAGCAGATTTTAAAACAGCCTCATGGCTTTCTTTTTTTTTCTTTTTCTCTCTTTTCCCCAGTGCGACTCCTCGTATATCATAGGATTTTATGGTGCTTTTTTTGTAGAAAACAGGATTTCATTGTGCACAGAGTTCATGGATGGTGAGTAGTGGATCCAGTTTGCTTTTGATTGCCGACTCGTTAAATGAGAAAGGAAATTTATTTACTTTTTTTATTTTCCCTGCAGAATGAAATGCAATGGTAACACTCAAAAATGTGCAGCATTAATAATATTGCAGGTAGTTAAAAAAACCCAGAGCAGGTTGGGATCGGGATTGGGGGATATTCTGCATTTTCCCTGCGTGGAACTTCGCTTACTTTTATGGAAAATGTAAATAGAAGAGAAATAAACGCAGCCTTAATTTGTGGTTTGATATTTGAGCCTCCCGTGCAATCTGTCCTCGCTGACAAAACAGCTGTTCCTCACTTGTAGTGTTTTGATAGCCAAAACAGCTTTTCCTTTCAAGAAATCTATTAACCCAATGTCCTGGGTGTTTGCAGTGGAAATCGTCTCTTAATTACCAGGCAAGGAGTTATTTTCCAGCCCAGCTGTTTCCCAGCTCGCTGCCGAGCTCCTTCTCCTTCCTCCCCACGCGAATCCTCAGCCCAAAAACCATCCCCAGACCCCTGCAGAGCCCTGCCTGGGGAATTCTGGATATTCCTGCT